AACAGAAGAGGGAATCGAACTCAGCCTTAACCGAGACCAGTGCTAACAACGAACGGCCACGACTTTGTTTACTCTGACGCGGTAACTGCTATTCACATGCAGTAATTGGATACGGCGCAACAACCGGCTTTCGATTCCGTATGCTTCAGGCACGCCCACAGTTTGTCGCATGAAATCCGGTCATGAGCTTTCTCCTGATCTTCAAAATACATGTAGATAGGGTGAGCGAACTCCTCTGATTTCTCAACATATCTGACGTATGCCGAAGATCTTGATCAAGGTACTTTGGCGTGAGAGACAACGATACTGTTCATCTTCCATCTTGGAGGTGGCTATTTCGCTGCACCTTTTTCAGAACCCTTGCGTAAGCTATTCCCGGGAGGCTCAGTAAGGTAATGTCAAAAAATTTGGTTACTCTTCATGATACTCTTTCTTGAACAAGGACACTGTCGCCTCAGTTCTGCAATCGACTGATGTCTTTTCCTTAGCCATTGCAATTTGAAAGACACCTGTTAGTCACCACATGCCTTGTTCGCCTAAAGCTTCAAGTATCGCAGGGCGCACTTTATTGATTCCAGCGGCATTGCGACTTTTCAAGGTTTCTACAGTTTTCGTGACTTCATCTACTGGAAGATTAATGTCCATTGTTGTTGCTATGCAGAGAAGTCACCGTGTAAATGCTTGGAGTTGAGAAGTTCTTCAAAGCAATTTCTCCCTTGCTGCAGTATATTCTCTTTCTTAGTTAGAAGGCGACCGGACTTGTCACAGCACTCATAGCTCGTCCTTCGTTTGTTCTCCGAGACGGCTGATGATTTGCCAGAAAACTTTATTTTCCTTCTGGAAATTTGACTCTAGTATGTTCATTCAAGGTGTAAGTGAAATGTTCAAAAAGTATACGAGAGGCAGAGTTAGCACTAGTATTATTGTTCTCATTCCTTGAAGGGTCGCCATCATTACCGCGAGTTTCATTTAGGTTCGAACAACGGTTAACCCAACAGCTCGTTTCTTTCTTGGACCTAGGAATTTATTTATTTATTTCCTGCATTTATAGGAAATACTCAGAATTTTTGTGTACATCGCTTTAGAAATGCACTGAATTTGTTTACATCTTATTTTCCATTTCCGTCGTTCAGAAAATGCCACGATGGGCTATTAAATTAGCGACATCGGTAGACATCTGCAACGACTCCAACGACTAACCAGCATTCGTGCTGACGTCACTTGCACATTGAAAAGCGTAAACAAATAAATATGTTCCTCATAAAAGTGATGAAACGCAACAGCTGGGACTCCCAATAGCCAAAGCGTCTGGCTGCCGTGGCATTCACCGAACATGAATGTACCGCAACATACGTATCTTACGTTCGTTTTGTGTTACTTTTTCGAACTACGTCGTCAGAGATTCCTAAAAAGCCTCGAAATGGCTTTTAATGGAATCATAATTGCAATTTTTGTGGAACCAGTTGTCTTGTCAGTTCGTTCGGCAGGCGTTTGAATGATGTTCGTCAACAACCGGTATGTTTACACGTTTTAAACTTTAAATTTACTACGAACAGCAACAGAGAAAAGGAATTTTTTCGCTGTTTAAACATTGCATTGTACTACATTCGCCTGATCGCGTCTGCCGGCGATTGTCATTGTGCCACTTTCAAACCTTCCCTTAAAACTTTCAGAAGAGCAACAAAACTTTTTAATGATAATGATTTTAAGATATTCCCCTGTGAGTGAACAGAACAGCACCTTATTTCTCAGGAAAATGCTAAAAATGACGATTATCAGCTTCAGCTTGTATGTCACGATTGAGCTTCTGATTGTTTCAGTCGCTAAATTGTACCTGTGGTAAGTGATATCCTTTCGTACCTAAAAAATGATTGTCTGTTCAATCCTTATATATTATCTCTTTAAAGAATATATCTGCCATGCCGCCATGCTTGGCGTCTGCCCCCCCTTGACCTGTGTATCTGATAACCGAAACATTACGATTTGAGTCACAGACGAGTTCCATGCTTTTCATTCTTCCATGATACATAATCGAGTAACGTTGTACATAAGAAGAACATAAGCGACCTCACGTTTCGATTGTCAAATAGCTGTATA